GAGGATAATGTAGAGAGAAATGTACACGATTTATGTTTGTTTTGGGATGTAGGATTGGTGATGGTGATGAATGCACATGACATGTTAACCTTCTTCATACCCACAAGTCTTATAAAGACTCATAATCAATGAACTGGTCGAAACCTCACTCATTACTACTAGCATACAATCAAGCCTATCAGCTGCATCATTCAGCATGCGGTTCCTCCTGAGCCTATCTTTGAAAACATCGAAGATTCTCTCGATTGGGTTCCAATCCGGCAAGTACGGTGATAAGTAGCGAACAACAATACCCATCTCATTACACATTTGTTCGATCTCGCCACCATGGTGAATGGTACAATTGTCCAACACCAATACTGAATTTCGCGCGGGGTAACGATTCATTACGGGAAGCTGCATCAATAGGAATGTCTGATTGAATCAGTACATTTGAAGTATTAAGAATGAGAAACAGGTGAGATGCTTACCAAAAGATGCTTCATAAAAGCTTTGAAATCTGTTCGCAGGTAGGCATCCATCTTGGAATGTACTGCAAGCAACCCCATTTCACAGATGGCTGCGAGCATACTGTAATGTGGTCCATTTCGTTTTCGTTTCAACTTCACAGGTCGTTTGCCTCGCTTCGATCTCACTTTGTCTCGCATCACATCCTGTGTTCTGAGACCTGTCTCATCTTGTAGATGCAAAGGAGAACAATCAAGTCAGTTACTGTTGATAATGTTTATGACAAAAAAAGAAAGAAGCTCACCCATGAAGACAAGACACTTGGAAGGGATATTGGCAATTCTCATGGAATAAGCTGCTTGAAGGTCAGGGGATTGCTTTGGATCCACTTTGGCAGCTTTATGAACAGTAAGAAAGAGACGGTCTTTTAAATCGTTCGCTATTGTTTGTCGACAAGCAATGATATTGGTGTGATCATACATTGCCTCCTGGATCTCGTCTAGAAAAAGTGTTGGGTCATCGTCGATAAGCTCAAGCATGAACTCGCAATCCTCTCTAGAATATACAGTTGGGCGTCCTTGTTTCGCGTACGTGGCCGGATCTCTGATGACAGAATGAGTGTGTTCGTAAAGAAGTTTCCATCGTGAAAATGATTTTCTTGAGATGTCGAGGAGAAGATCGTGGTTGATTGATGGGATTGATTGTCCTAGAAGCCACTTGTTGAGTGCGATGACTTTAATTTGTGGGGTGTATTTGATGAATGGCATGGCGTGAATGCAAGAGAAATGGATTGATCAACAATGAGAATTGAATGAATAAGAAAAATTGATGAAGTTCGGTGGGATTGAGGGTATGGAAGAAGTGGTGAGCTGTGGTAAACAGCCCAAATTCAATCGAGATAGGTGAATCTCAATTGAAGGCTCAATATAAGCATATTTTGGCCTGTATTGACCAAAATATTTTTTTAAAAAAACTCGACCGGACAAGGTATTTTAGATTGACTGTATTTGGTTCCCAAAAGTATGTAGCTTTGAGTCCCTGTTGCATACTTTCTTATCTACTTCTTCATGCCTCATGTTGGCAAACAGCAGCAAATCTATCTTGAGCTTGCCCAAGCAAGTGCCCATGTGTTGTCTGGGCTCTTATCTGCCGCAAATCCTCCCTCTTATCTTGGCTTATACGCCAGTATTCACATTGAATTGTTAAGCATCACAACTCTGATGCTGATGGGCAACTCCAACAAAGCCTTCATCATTGCGGCTATCACTGTTGGTGGTGCTTTCAGCAAGTTCGTCCAAACCGGCTGGAAACTTGAAGCTTTCATCCAGTCTCAGCAAGCAATTCATCACCATAATTTTAACTTAGCTTTGGCTATTGGTCAAGCGCTTGATTTACTTACTCACCTGCAATATGTTGAACCAAGGATTCACAACCAATTGACTGTGTTCCAAGTACTAAGGTTTTGCAAGGTCTTTAATGGACCCAAACACAATTTTCTTGGCCATGTGTGTTCCATTTGCCTCTACTCTCATGTATTTCAAGTCTAGTTCTGATCTCCTCCAAACATTTCAACCAGGCTCAGATGTCAAGAGAAAACTTTGACCATTTGGCAAATCTAATCTGAGATGATCTAATTTTCCATAGCAACTCCTCTGTACCTCAATCACCTGTTGAGGGGCAGTTACTGGTCACTATTGGAATTCATTGTGATTGTCAAGACCTTCGAGCATCAAGTTATTGACACGTCTAGTATACTGATTTCTGATAAATGTACTTGACTTATTAGGAAATGGATCTTAGGTTGAAAGGGATGGTATTACTAATGTTAAGCGAGAAGAGATGTGTGAGGTTGACTGTTGGATTGTGTTAGCTTATGTGTATGCAGGAATGTTGTGTTGTGTGTCTTGTTTCTTTTTGCTTTGTTTGAGTTTTCTAAGTTATATACCTGGCTCTGTCTTGTTCCCCTTTTGATTTTCTTTTTCCTCACCAATTGGGAAAAAGTAATCTAAAGGTAAAGTTTCTCTTCATACACCAGTGTCAAAATTGTTAGCTATAACTAATTCTTTTCATCAAAAACTGTTTGTGTCTGTCTCTCTATTTTTGTTTCACTACTTTCAGCTTCTTTTCTTTTTATCAAACCTTGTCATGTTTCCTTGTTCTTTGCTCTCTTCAAGACCTGTCACCTTGCTGTAAAGAGATCTCATATTCTCTTGTTTTGTTAAAGGTGTGTTAGTCATGAGTAGTGTTTCCTCACCAATTGGGAAAAAGAAATCTAAAGCTTCTTTTCTTTTTATCAAACCTTGTCAGGTTTGCTTATTCTTTGATCTCTTTGAGACTTGTCACCTCACTGTCGAGAGATCTCATATTCTCTTGTTTTGTTAAAGGTTTGCTTATTCTTTGATCTCTTTGAGACTTGTCACCTCACTGTTGAGAGATCTCATATTCTCTTGTTTTGTTAAAGGTTTGCTTATTCTTTGATCTCTTCTAGACAAGTCACCTTGCTGTTGAGAGATCTCATATTCTCTTGTGTTGTTAAAGCCTTTTAAACACAGTGTCTAATGTCAAGTTTTCATCTCCGTTGAATTCTTTTAGTCACCTTGTGTTGTTTAGGTTCAAGTGGAAATGGGGGTAGTGCTTATATGATAGGTCAGATGTTTGTATTTAGTGGTAGGTAACTGGTAACTGGAAGTCCTGGTCCTTGAGACATTACTGACTCTATTTGTGTCTTTAAAAGGGTCTGTTCACAATTTTACGCACCATTGTTTTGAGGTGATTTTAAAATTGGAATATCAATATGTCTATTGGCCAAATCAAGAAGAAGGAAATTATATTAAGAGGCATATTGGCAATTGGTCTTTCTTTCAGGACTTTGTAGGATTCATTGACGGCACCTTAATTCCGCTGGCCTTTGCACCATTGAAAGATTGATAAGAGCAGTTTGCTCATTATCATTACTTTTTTCTTACATCTATTATGATCCCTCCTTTACTAGGTACTTGTGTTTAACCTTTCTCATAAAATCCCAACATCAATCTAACCCAACATCTTTGTTATACATTTTTATATTTCCTTTTTTATTTGTTGTGATTAGGTTAGTACCTTAGGTCTGCGTACCTATTGGTTTGGAGGAGAAGTGCTCCAAAAAAGATTGTTTCTCTTTCAGTTTCCTTCAATTGACAATTTTGGTAGTTCTCAGGTGATCTGGCTGTTTTGCTCAAATTTTGCTGTACATTGCTGGAGAATGCTTGTTTCCATTGTCAATCTTGGATGAGCAGCCTTTGAGCTCAGTCTCTCATATGAGTACTCAGAATCAATTCATAAGTCACTGCATACTCAGAACAGCTCAGAGCCTTGTCCAAAATCCCAGATCGGCAGGCTCCAAGGCATGCCACTGAGGATCAGCTGAGGGGCTGAGATGAAGTGAGCAGATAGGCCAGCCCTCCCTCAGGTTTCTTTGCTAAGGAAAGGCCTAGTTCATCCTTTCAGTTCCTGTTAATCATGTAATCAGCTGACAAGCAGGAATAAAAGGGAAATAAAAGGGAAAGAATTTGGAAGGAAAATTGAACAAATGTTGAAGAAAACAAGAAAATTTCAATGCTCACCCCAAAGTGAGCATTTATTTTTGCCCCTGTGATTGTGCTTTTCTCCAGATCAATGAAGGAGCACAAGAAGCACTTAGCCTTGGTTTTAGACCAACTCAGGAAGACCAATCTTTACTGTAGCAGGAAGAAGATGAAGGTACTCCAACAAGAGGTGAAGTTATCTCACCAAACAGAGTACAATCAGACCAAGATAAGCTCAAAAAATCCAATCATACAAGTCCCCTGAATCATAGAGTAAAAGTTCCTACAAGCCATGCAGTGGAATCTACACAGGGGACTTAAACATTCTTTGAGACCTGTTATACAGTTGTTTTCAAAAAGCTTGCCACATATCCACTGCCAAATTGTATGAGTTTTAGTCTCAAAAAAACCCAGTTGATCCAGTTGGCTTTTTGGCAGGGAGCTGTCAACAAATGTCAAGTCAATACACAAAGTTACTGCCAAAAAGCAACCAGGTCAGTCAGGTTTTGTTGGAACCCAGTCCACTTTGAGAGCCACTAATCACCATAATTTTTACTCATGCAAGAGGACTACTATTTGATCAAACCTATTCAGGCCCCAGCTTGCACAACAGAAGTAAAGCTGATAAGTCACAAGTCACTCTCCAGGGCACCAAGCTTGCAAAGGTTAAAAGAGCCCTGCAAGAATTTGAAATCTGTCTGACACAGGAAGACTATTAGTCAGGCAAACAAATTATGTTGAATGTGCCAACCTCCTGCTTCAGGCACAGAGTAGTGCATAAAGAAGATTGTCTGGTGTAGTGGACTTGTGGTTTAGCTAGACTTTAAGACAAACCTCATTTAAATTTCAATGAAAACAACCAAATTAAGTAAAAGCATACGTATATTCAATTTGCCCTCTTTTTCTAGATATGGAAACTGCTTCTCAGTATGTAATGGCCATTGATGACTTTCTTCATAATCTTATCATTTGAATCACAGCTACACTTATTTAAGGTGTGCAACGAGAAGTGTATCTAAATGCAAAAAAAAGTTTCATCCAAGTCAACTTATATTTCCTTCAAAACATTCAAAAGAAGTAAAACATACCGAGGATACAGGGAGCATTCTCGAACATGAGGTCTCTTCACAAGCCAAGCCAAGAATCGCTAAACACAAAAAAATTCGTCATCAACACCCAGATCAATAATAGCATCATTCAATCAAACCTTACCTCTACTCCAAGTCCATATCCTCCATGTTCACAGGTCCCATACTTACGTTGATCAGTGTACCTAAACCCCCAAACCTCAAGCCATCAAAACCCCATAAATTTGAAAAAACAACTTAAAAATCCAACTTACCAGTAATAAGGTTCAGCCGGAATTCCCGCACCACGGTAAGCCTCCAAAAGTTCATCATAGCCTGTCATCCTCATAGACCCACCCACAATTTCACCCACCCCAGGCATAAGCACATCAACACTTTCAGTAAAGTTTGGATTACCCGAGATTCGTTTCATATAAAAGGCTTTAATTTCTTTAGGAAAGTTAATCAAAAAGATCGGAACATTAAACGTGTCGGTCATCAACCGTTCAGGTGCTTCTGGAATATCATCTGCAATGGTAAATGGACCACCTCCATCTTCTTCTGCTTTGTTGATCCCTCGTTCGTTTAACCAAGCTATAGCTTCTTGGTAATCCATTCTTTTGAATGGTCTACTTGGATATTTGAAATCGGGGTTAAGAGTTTCGACTAAAGCTTTGACTTTGGGGTTAGCTAAGAGGATATCTAAAGTAGAACAAATCTAAAAGAATACGTTGTCAGCTCAATGCTTTAAAACACCAGTCTTGAGATCGAATGTGATCTTACTAATTCTTCAATATGGCTCAAAAGGTCTTCGAAAGTCAAAAAACCAAGTTCGGCCTCAAGATGGGTATATTCACTAAGATGTCTTCGGGTCTAAAAGAAAGCAATTCATATCAGGCCACGAATTTCAGTTTGAGTATCTATTACTAGTATTACTTACCCGACTTTTCTCAGCACGAAAGCTTTCTTGAATACAAAAACAATCTCCCAAACTAGGTAAACAAGTTTCGAGATATAATTGAGAGCTTTGAGTCAAATAAGCTTTCTCGCCATAATAATCAAAGGCAAACAAGGTCGATCCACCCTAGTAACACAAAAGAAAGAAAGAAAGACTTAGTACCAAAGACAAGAATGGATGACACAAATCACTCACTTCAACTTGAGTTTGTACCATACAAGGAGGAGTGACTTCAATAAGTGACAGTTTCGCATAAGATTGACGAAAAGCATCTAAAAGAGCTGATCTAACTTTCAACACACTCGAAGCCGTTTCACCCCGAAGAACTAGATGACGTCTATCAGCCAATGTGTCCGGTCCAGAATCTTCTGAAATCTGATTAGTAAACGATTCCGAATCCCCTGGAGCTTTTCCCATGATAGACCACCAATCTACTTGTAATTCATGTCCATCTGGTGCACTTTTTCCTTCTGGAAGGGCTACGATCTTACCGGTTAATTGAACAGTGGATTCGATCGTTAAAGTAAGTGCATCATAGGTTTGAGCCTGATCGAACAAAAAAAAAGATTCAGTACATTATCTTATCAATGGTTTACAAAGTGATTTGCTTACTAGTTTTCCAGTAAGAACACATTGAAGGAATCCAGTCCCATCACGTAGCACTAAGAAGATCAAACCTTTTTGTTGTCTAAGTCTATGAATCCAACCAAAGACTCGAACTTTAACCTCTCTGTTATCAACAGCTTGATGAATCTTAATACGCTTAGCCAGCCCATCTGTTTCTTCTAGAACAATCTTTTTAGCTTCTTCAAGTTTGACTGCATCATCTGCTTTGCTAGACGATTCACGATCCTTGAGTGCTTCTTCAGCTTTATTAGCTTTACTTTGTTTCTTTTGATGTAATTCGTATCCTTTTTTAGCTCTTTTGATAGCTGTTGAAGTGGCTGGTTGAAAGGATCCTTTTGAATCTGGAGCTTCTTCGGTCTTAAAGACTAAACAAGTTAGTTCGGTATTGTTTTGAGCGATATAAGCACCAAGGATAGTTTGAAATGGAGATGATTCGGATCCATTTCCGGTGGTATCAGATCCGGTTGTTTCATTGATATAAACGGTTGATGCAGAGCTGATGGAAGTAGCAGCCATGGATGTGGTTAAGGACTCTGCCATGTCAATGATGGATAGGGAAGTTGGATCTCGATCGGTGATTGGTTTTTATTGTCGATTGGTGTTTTGGGGCAGAAAATCAAATTCAGCCGAGTTTCGAAGTTTTTGAAGAAAGACCCGATCACATCCAACGGACTTTATCACACATGACTACATATCACAGCAATCCGCATTCACAGGACAATCACAGCACACAGCATTCTTGCTTATACAATCAATATATGCAGCTTCAAAATTGTAAATTAACATCTCATGAGCTCACTCAAATGCTTTCTCAGAAACACATGCATGGCTGATTCAGCTGTCTACATAGGCTCCTCCATCACCAGATCTCTTAAAAAAAGGAAAAAAAAGGAGACATTTTAAAGAAGATAGATCTGTTACAAGTTGGAAAATGGCCATGGTGCTCCACTTTCTTGGAGTTTACAATTTGGAGTGTGAATCTTCACAAATTATTGTCAATCCTTGGATATGATGATCAAGATTACAAGAAGAAACACCTTCAACTTTCATTGCTAGTCTGATTTACATACACAGTGATGTGACATGTGTTATGTATCTTAAGAATAACCCTTAATATTTAGTCCAATGGTCACCATTCAAGGGATTGAGTATTGTCCTCTTCAATCAAAGCTATGCGATCACATCAAGGATCTGAAGAAAATTGAAAACTTGAAATCCACTTCATGATGTCAAGCTCATGGAGAACATTTAAAACACTTCATCGAACCTTTAAACCAATCCAAAAACCTTCAATCAACAAAACTCAATTCTCAACCCAAACCATTTTCAAGCAAACACCAATCAACAAACCATTTAAAAAACCTAAATTACAATTACCTACAATTATTCTTACTGGAAGTTTGACTGGAATTTTATTACTTTGGATTAATTTAAAAACTTCAAATCCAATCTCAAATGAAGAATTTCAAAAAGTTTTACAACAAGATAATGAATCCGGTCTAACAAACACACCACAATCCACGAAATCGAATACAACTTATCCTGAGAGTAATGTGTTTATATGGGGTTCTAATAGGTAAGTGATTCATTATGATTGATGAGGTTTTGAAGTTTTAATTGATGTATGATTTAAGGATCGGTTTAGAAATGGGATTCCTGCTCCTGGTTCTGATACAGAGATCATAAAGAAACCGATCCCATTACCTTTTTTTCAAGAAGAAGCTTTACGTGACTTAGTTCTACATGAGAAATATGCAGGTAAACCAATCTGATAGAATTCATGGATCTTGACTCCTTAAACTAATTTTCTGATGATAATATTTTATTTTCTTTCCAATCATCTTAGTGGCAGTCGATTCTCGTGGTGATCTTTATCAATGGGGATCTCAAACTCCTTCAAACCAAACATTAAAACCAACCAACATCTTATCAAATCATGATATAAAACAAATCGCATGCACTTCTTATAAAATCTATGCATTATCCAAATCAGGAAAAGTTTATATAATCCCATCAGGTACAAAAGAAACTAGCACACATGATCAAACTTTAAATAAACAGAATAGATCATGGTGGCCTTGGTGGTTAGGAGGTTCAAATGATTCTAAATCTCAACTTGTTTGTTTAAAGATCGATTCTGAAGAAAATCAATTATCTTGGAGAGAAAAGTTTACTTCGATTTCGGCTGGTGATCATCATTTACTTGCTATTACATCAAAAGGAAGAACGTTTGCTTCAGCTGTTGATCTTCAAGCAAACTCGCATGGTCAATTAGGCCTAAAGCAAGTCAAGCTTAATAAGATCTCTCAGCAATCTTGTCTTGTACCTCTCAATCCTCTAGCAATTAGTGATACTGTCAGCAAACCGATCAACCCTTTAACCCCTCAATTACCATGGCTGCCAGACGATCCTTTGAGGAAGAATTCGAAACCTGAAGTTCCAGTCTCCAAAGTTACCCCACTTGAATCAACGATTGCTGATCTAGGAATAGAGCCAGAACATGACATCAACTTTTGTACCACATTACACGAGATCCCAGCACTCCGTCAATTAAACATAGTCCAAATCGCCTGTGGCTCATCACATTCACTCGTCCGTACTGCAACTGGTGACGTACTAGCATATGGTTCTAACCTATACGGACAATTAGCCGCAGGAGCCAGTCTACTTTTTCCAGCATTACCAGCCCCAACGGAAGTGGATATGCCAAGATCGAAAGATTATTCAAGGAAATGTATCGGATTGGCAGCAGCTGGAGACACAAGTTATTTAGTCACTGAAAAAGAAGATGTCAAACTTCATAGAAAGACTATCGAAGTCTTGGCAGCTGGGTATGGTCAATTTGGTGGGGTTGGGAATGGACAATGGAATCATCAAGCTAGTCCTGTGAAAGTTAAAACTATTAGCGGATTGATGGAATGTAAGATTTTCATCATTTTTTGATCGGTTGGGTCTCCTTTGGAAGATTGATTTGGGAAAATATATTTTGTATACTATAGGGTCGGAAAAAAATCAGACTGTCTTTCCAATTGGAATTCATCAATTGTCTACCGGAAGAACACATGTTGCAGCTGTTCTAGATAACGCTGTCTCATCTGATGGAATCGATTTTGGTCGAGATGTATTTTTATGGCAAGAATTTAATCACCATATCATCATATCATTATACTCATATTTCCAAACTTTTTTCTTTTCACTTTTAGGGGACATAATGTTGATTATCAACTTGGAAATCGTAAAAGAGCAAATCTATCAATTCCTCAACACATTTCACCATTACCGAAGATTCCAAAAGATGAAAGTCGATCCAAAGCAATGACAACCGAAATCGAAAGTGGTACAAGTTCTCCTATGCCTCATCATAGATTACAATTAAATCCTAAAAAGAAAATCGCAAGGAAAGATGCAGAAGAAACGGTTGTTGCTGGATGGTAAGTGTTTCTTTTTCTGGATCATCTTCTGGTTAGTGCCAGTGGATTGATTGGTTCTTTTTTTGGGGGTTGGGGGATTTAGGGATACCACTGCGGTTTATTGGCGATTGATTCAGTAGTGTAGGTAGTATTGATTAAAAGTATGTGGTTTTGTATAGACAATTACTATCATCATGACTACTGTCATTTAGCCCTTTTCTTTGTTAAGCACTGAGATTGTATATAGAAATGTTTATCAAATCTTGTATTCGACCTTTTCAAATATCAAACATGTTTTAATGATCAGATTTTTCTAGTGTCTGTAATTAACAGAATAGTTTTAAACTTTATGTGTAATAAACCTTGATTCATCTTATCACAAAGTGACCATGATCAATTTCTGCAAAGTGTAAAGGGTGGTGAATTTTCTCGTGGAAGAGTGGCGTTCGACGGCGTCTACAGGTCTGGGGACTGGGCTACTATTTCTATTAGTGCTACCAGAGGGACGCGAAAAGTAGATCATGGTTAGGGCGAAGAAGGGACGGGTTGTGAATCAGAAGGATGTCATCTTGTTGAGAATTAGTGAAAATGAACCAATTATCGATCTGAAACTCCGAGGTTGAGCGAGATAGGTTCACTGATCAGCATGACACTTGAACCATCGAATCAACTTTTCAAAGAGTCAAATGAGAAAAAGAAATGTCATTTGAACCTTTTCGACCAACTCAACGTGACTGCATCATACTTCGATCATTATCCATAAGCCCAACTATAAGTCCCACCACATGGTCAACTTCTAATTCTAAACACACCCCAATACCTGAAGCTCAACCTGCTCTTCTTCATGCAAGAGTTTTACCTAGATCTGGATTTCCAATTTCTGCAAAATTAGATTTACTTGATTCAGATACAATATCATATGCTAGTATTGCAAAAGCATTCATTGAACATATCAACTCAACTCAATCAATTTATTTTAGAGTAGAATTATTGATTGAAGATTTGGCTAAGATTGCTCTTTGGGATTGTGGATGTGATGAAATTGATTTAGGAATCGAATTGACAAACGGAGTTTTACAAGGAAAAAGTTCAGGATTAGTGATCTCAAGAAACCGATTGGATTATCACTTTGAACCAATCATTAACTTATCATCATCTATCAAACCTCAACTAAAGCATCAAGTAACATCAACATCAGCAAAAGAAGATAGATTGATCTTAAAAGACTTACGGCTAAGTTGTATTATTGGAGTACTCGATCAAGAAAGATTAGAAGAACAAACTGTACTGGTTAATCTTATTTGTTGGCCTACAAGACTTGCTGGAACGGATTACGAACTTCAAACTATCGAAAGTCATCTTGACATGGGCATCGGTCTTCAAGCCCTAGCATCAGCGACCATAGGTGTTAGTCATCTTTGATTCTTCACTCAAAGCTTCATTGTTGACTTGGATTGATTGGTTGACTTTGTTATTCAGTATGTTAAGAAATCTTCATTCTTTACAGTCGAAGCTTTGGCAACTTCATTGGCAGATACATTGCTCTCACTTCAGTATCCTAACTCTACATCAGTAGACCAACCAAGGAAACAGCCGATCGAAAAGGTTACTGTTCGAATAGAAAAACCTTCAGCGATCGCATTTGCTCAGGGCGCTGGAGTCGAAGTGACGCGTTGGGGAAACAGACGCCCTCATGAACTTAACAAATTGACTGTAGAAAACAACATCACAGGCCCCAAGTGGGGCTCAGCTTCAAATCTTCAAATCGGTTCTCGTTCACTTACATCCTCATCTTCACCTTCACAAGAACTTGACGAACCAAATCATATAGTTTATATCGGCTTAGGCTCAAACATGGGGGACCGACTTGAAAATATTTCTTCAGCTTTAGATCGACTTTGTGAACCATTAGAATCAGGAGGTGCGAATGCTAAATTACTAGACACAAGTTTTATGTATGAAAGTGAACCTATGTATGTGGTGAACCAATCGCCATTCCTCAATGCCGCTTGTAAGGTAGATATCGATACTTCTCCCTTCAAATCTATAGTCTAATCTAACAGTACTTTCGTTTTGATAGATTTCAACCCCACTAGAACCTTTTGATCTTCTCAATGTTTTGAAATCTATTGAAAAACATTACGGTAGAGACCTTCATACAAACCAACGTAATGGACCAAGACCTATCGATCTGGATATCCTATTATTTAATTCAAACATCATCAATGCAGAAGATTTAAAAATACCTCATATTGGAATCCCAAGTCGACAATTTGTTTTAGAACCATTAAACGAGTAAGATTCGATTCCTATAAATCATCTTTCTTACCAAAACTCCAAGCTCAAACTTCTTTTTTTTTCTCCTCAAAAAAACTTTTCTGTAGTATTGCTGCTCATCTATTACATCCACAACATCGTCTTACTATTGGTTCTCTTTTATCACGTCTTACAAAATCAGAACCATCATCAGTGAATCGAATCCATCCAATCCATTCCCGAACCCAACCAGATTCCCCAACCCTAGATCTTTCGAAATCGACCCATCTAATGTCAATCTTAAATTGTACACCTGATTCATTTTCAGATGGAGGCATATCTTTCGAAGCATCTGATGCGATTCAAAAAGCTCTTGATCAAATCAAGAATGGTACAGATATCATTGATATTGGTGGGATGTCAACCAGACCTGGTGCAGATGAAGTTTCAAGCCCAGAAGAGATTCGTAGAACGATACCTGTGATCGAAGCTCTAAGAAAAACTCATGCTGTTAAATGTCATATTAGTATTGATACTTTTAAGTCAGATGTCGCTAGAGCTGCTCTACAGGCTGGAGCAACCATGGTGAATGATGTATCAGGTGGTGAAGCAGATCCGAAGATGCTCTCAACTGTAGCAAAACTAGGCGTACCAATTGTCTTAATGCACATGCGTGGTGATTCAAAAACAATGAACAAGATGATAAACTATGGAGAAGATATTTTAAAAGGAGTTCAAAAAGAATTAGAATCAAGAGTCTCGAAAGCCATCCAAGTAGGTATCAAACGTTGGAACATCCTTCTTGATCCTGGTTTAGGTTTTGCAAAAGATTCGAATGGAAACTGTATACTGATCAATCGATTAAGTGAATTAAATCAACATGGAATTTTAAAACATTTTCCAATCCTTATTGGTCCATCACGTAAAAAGTTTATAGGTGATTTAATTTCAAGAAAATCAGATGGAAGTCAAGAATCAAACATGGAGATCGTACCTGCTCAAGATCGAGTCTTTGGTACGGCTGCTGCTTGTGTGATGTCTATGATGGGAGGTGCAAGAGTTTTAAGAGTTCATGATACTAAAGAAATTAAGGATGTTATCAGAGTAGTAGATGGGATTCGACGCTCTCACTTACGGTGATCAAATTCATCAAACTCGATTCTTTTGGATGGTTTTATAAATTTAATTATTTGTATCTCATTTTTTCCAACTATTTTGAACCCTCTGCGCTCAGATTGATCTTGGTGTATCTTTGTTTGTTTCAATGTCAGCTATAAAAATGACAATAATTTGAACAAGCAGTCCACTAGAGCAATTTGAAGTTCAGAATCTGATAAGACGCTCTACGAAGGGATCTTCCGTTACTGTTGAGGAATGCAAGGATGATTGTACAAATCTATAAATACTTTTGAGATACTTTGTAGCTCATTGTATGATGTAAGATTGACCATTTCAAAGCTTCCAACTAACAGTAAGAGTCACTGGTAAGAAATGCGGAGGTCCTCTTACTCAATTTTGCCCAACATCTGATCTCCAGTGAGAGTCAGAGAAGAGACCCCCAGAACACTGAAAGGTCCAAGTCTCCTTCTCGCAAGAAATGTACTAAGATCATGTAGACTTTGACCTGCTTCAAAAACAACCAAACCTCCAGAACTTTGACTTGGGATTTGACTTTCCAAAACTTCTTACTCATTGATCTAAGCAAAACCTCTTCAAGTTTGCTCATTTAAACCATTCTTTGGTACACATCAAATATTCCTTGAGCAAGATGACCAAGACACACGTCTTTAAGATACACCAGACTAAAGAAATGGACATCAAATCAAAGACTCCCCATCCAAACCGCAGAAGTTCAATCCTTCAACCAAACCCTAATCCCAAAAAAAAATCACAACATATTCCTAATCAATCGAGTAGCAAGCTTAACACCCAACCCAACCTGTCTACCATCCCCTTCAAACCAATCCTCACAAACCAAACCTGTTGCATTTTTTCTTAATCCAGTCAATTCTTCTGTCAATTGATTTGAAACTCCCTTTTCTTCTGTTTCATCTATGATTAATAAATTACATTCTAGATCTCTTTCTGCTGATCTACGTCCGTAATTTGATGATCCGATCATTGTTAAAAACGGTTCAAATTCATTAGATATAGATCGGTTTGAGTTTAAATGGGTCGAATCAGTAGGTATATCGGCTGAAGGATTCGGATTACAAATTCTTGATAACCAAATTCCTATGAAACCAAAACATTAAGATCATCAATCCAAAAAATAATGAGTGAGTAAAAAATCAAATTGAGTTTACCTTTAGCATGATACGTCCAACCTTCTTTAATCCATTCTCGAATTTGAATTTGATCCTGTTTACGAGCTTTAATGATATCTTGATAAAACAAGCTTTCTAAATAAGTATAAGCATCTGGAATATATTTCGATACACCTTTGGATTGATAAAACCCATTTGCCTTTGAAACGCCCCCAAGAAAATGTTAGAGATTTAAAGATAGATTGTATTATTGAAAAGCTTAGATCACTTACTTCAGGTGATGCAGATGTTATTGAAACATTCAAATTGGATTCTAAAAGCATTCGTTTATAGTCTCTTAAAATGCTAAAATATCCACTTGTCCAATCTAGTCTTACTTTACAACCATCAGTCAAAGTTTCTAACGTGTTGGCTAAACGGATCAATTCAGGTACCACCAGCCGAGTTTCTTGTCGGATCTCAAATGGTCCGATTTGTAAAACTGGAAAAATGTAAACTTTTGAGTCTTGCGAATCAAAAGCTGTTGAATCAGATGTTAAAGTTTTCCATTTTTGAGTCAAGCTTTGGTACTTGTGATGACCAGTGGTTTTGAATTTGGTAGATGTTAGTTTCGAATGATCAGGTCGTTGAAGATCATGATTCTTTGGCCATGAGAATGATAAGTTTGTAGGTGTGGAATTAGGATCGATTGTGTATGATAATTGGGCAGTAGTTTTGCATAGCTCATGAAAGTAATCGGCTAGAAGACTATGATTTGAGATCTTGATGTAACGATCCATCCGATTTGTGAAATAATCATGACTCAAGTTAGCACTGTATAAAAGTACAAAACAATGAGCATTTTGAAGAAAAAAAGAAAAAGTACAAGAAAAGAAAACGAAACGAAATGCTTGTCCCACCCACTCATGATTAAATGATCATCTACACCATAAACCTTCATATGTTGTAATCCCCATCCTTCATCAAACCGTCTAGGAATCCAACTTTTTCTCCATCCAAAGAGTTCAGAAGTATGAAAGAGAGCAATTTCGACTTGATTAGGAAACTCAGTTTTCAAACTTGCCAAGATTGATCCAGATGAAGGTTGAGGATCTTCTCGAGTAGATCTTAAACAATCCACCACGATCGTCAGGTGTAAAGTAGGAGTAGATTTTAAGGATCGATGTAGAGCGGTGATCTGAGTGTTATTTGTATGCAGGATCAGGTATAAGAATGGATGGCTCATTCCCATTACTTCTTCAGACGCACCAACTCATGTTCTTCTTTACCAATATATAAACTTGCAATAAAGATCCGATGTCTTGCTTTAGAAATCATATCCTGATGATTAAGATCGACAAGACAAGATGATCAAGACCAACCATCTATTACTGATTCTATAAGACTCACCAGTAATGTTTGATAAAACTCATTGGGTTTCTTGATGATTTGAATATCCTGAGCACGTGCTTTAAAACATGGTAATTGTTGAGCAAGATCGCACACGAATCTCTTGAGTTCTGTGCTCCCGTTGAGCCGAGATGAAGGTTGTGAATCAAGATTCATGTGATGGATGTGACGTGATTGGGTTCTAGTGAATGGGTTGTTGATCCTCAAGTTGAAGTGATATGAATGAGAATTAGGAATAGAGAATAAGAGAATCCGTCGATTCATTATGATTAGATGAGTGATCTCGATCGAATGATAAGATACAATCGAACCACTTTTTAAAGTTTTGGCTGAACTCGAATTCGGTAAAAGTCATCTGGGATCCGGTCCGTGAGTTGAATGCCAATCTGATAACCGAGCACGCCCGCGCCCCATGATCCATCTCCAGCCGCCCTGCTCATTCCATTCTGAGTTTCTTGAATGATCAGCATAACCCTTGACCCAAATGCAGCACAAATGATCAAAAGCACTGGATCAAGAAATTTAATGTTGTTGTACATACAAACCTTTCGGAAATCATAGATTCCTTTTATTTTATTCAGAAGCACACTTTCAAATTAATAGAGCTACAAATAATTACTATCAAATCAAAGAAACCTCAATATATATATATATATAAATACACAAAATTTTATTAAGCCAAACAACCCAAACCAGTCCCGAAGTTAATTTTGCCCAAAAATTTCTTAATCATCGACTTTAAAAAGTTTACCAAACCTACCCGGTAATTTCTCAAGTTTAGAAACACAAGAAGATCTATTCCTAAACCTACAAATCCTAAACCTAATCAAATCTTTATGTTCTTTAGTAAGTTGAGCATGATAAAACGTTTCTTCATCTGTAAAATTGCTAACCAAACTTGTAGGATCATAAACAAATCCAATAGATTCTTGTGAATGAGTTTGATTAATTAAATCCGTATTCCTAAGTGACTGATCCCTTTGAAAGGTTTTTTCAAAACTTGTACAAGGTCGTAAGATAAGTTCAGATTCGTGTACTAAACTTGAAGTTGGTAAGGTTATTGGATCGGTTTGGAGAGTAAGCATCTTAGGTTCATAAAAAGCTGAGATTGGGGATTTAGGAAAATGATCTGATGAAGTAGGAAGATGAAATCGTTTGATAAGTGGTTTTGGCTCGATTGATGGAACTGACATAAGGTGTAAGGGTGTGGGTGTGAGTTGGCGAAAAGGTTTTTTAGAACTAAAAGACTGAGCTGAAGAAGATTCAGGATAGGAAGTAAGAGTAGGTAAGGTATTAGAACGGTTTTCATCAAGTTTAGTGGATGTATTAAATGATCGAAGTGTTCCAATAGAACTATATAAATTGACCAAAAAAAATTCAGATTGATCGCATTGGAAAGATGAGTTCAAGACATCGAACTGACTTTAATGGAACATAATCTTCAGCCAAGGTTGTGATTGATGATGTCTTCAATAAATCCTTCTTAGGGGGTGGAAGAGATGGAAGTCTTGATGTACTTGTTTTGATTTCTTGAACTGGAAAATGATCTAAACTCATAGTTTCTAGAATTGGAGGGTAACGTGGAAGATTGTTATAAGGAACTCTAGAGCCTTTTCTCTGATCAGAATAAACCATAGCAGAATCAAGAAAGTTCTGTCTTGAAGGACTGAAATGGGGTTGTGGAAGAGATGTGTATTGATGATGAGTGAGTTGATGAAGGTTTGGTGAGTTAGAAGTGCTATGAGAATGATTATGAGGCATCTCGAATGATTAGCTGATGGAAATGAATTTAAAAGAAATGAAGGATGTTGGTAGTGAATTTGAAGGTAAATTGGAATTTCTCCTCTCTCTGGTGTGTTTGTGATTGATAGCTCATTGAAGTTGAAGAAGAAAAGCAAAAGAACTGATGAATTGATCAGGACTGGATGTTTAGCAATCCATTCATCATTTGACAAATTAAAGTTTTGATTTTGATGAGTAAGATACAGATAGATAAAGTGCTACTATTATGATAAATTGTCTAGAATTCTTTTACATAGAATGATTACCAAGGGTTTATGGAAGAGCTTGTGGGATTAACAGAACATAAAGAAAGAACTTGATATCAAAAGGTGTGGATGGTTGAATGGAGTGATGATTAAAAACCAAATCATCAACTTAGAAATCATCACCAAGATGGTTTTCGAAAGCTAGAAATTCAAAATCATAGTGCCAGGCTTACCACATTAAAACTTTCAAATAACTCTTTGGAGGTTTGAACTTTAACCTTTCTCATCATCATCTTACAACTTACCATGGGGTAGAGGAATAATTGTATTTCATCCAAACTGTGAAAGGTAAGAAGATGCATATGTACATCATAGCAACTTCAAACGGAAGATGAGTGATCTTGATCAGTTCTATCATCTGAATAAGAAAAAGACAAGAAAAGCTTGGAGTCTGACTAAGAATCATGAACAGCAAAACTTATTGATCAAAGTTGAACACAGGATCAAAATTAGATAAGCACCCTTTTTCTTACTTACTTGATCTTGATCTTTAACCAAGTTGAAATGAAGTGGAATTGGTCATCAAACTGATTACGTAAACAGCTCAACTAATCTACTTTGTTCGGATTCAAACCTTTTGATGAGTCTTTATTATTCCTCAGAAAAAAGACTTCCCACTGAAGATTTTTGGTCAACTATTTGATTTTTGGACATTGGTTGATAACCTGAATATCTTTCTAATAAAATCAAAAGTAATGTATTTTAAAATTACTCAAAACCTTTCAACAAATCGTAAGCTATGTGATACTTTTCATTGGATATAGCTAAGAAACAATCAGGATATCAAAACCAAACAATCAAGAACACAAGCAACACTGAAAACCAAATCGAATTCCTAATAACCTTTTAATTTTCAAAGTATCATCCACAAAAGGAGAAAACCTTTTTTCATCTTCCTTGATTGATCGTTGTATGCATGCATGTATATCATTTTCTCCTACTCGATTCCTCACAGCTCAAAGACCATTTCAAAGTTTTATAATCTTTCTTCAGGTTCAAAAGATTCATACCATCAATCAAGATTAGAAAGACTGCATTCGATTCCAAGTGATCAGAATTTCTGACTTCCATGTTGTCTGACTACCATTACCATCAGCCAATTCATAAAATCCTACCTTACTGATACTTCAACTCACACGTCTATGGCATGGGAAATGAAGGAACCTCAAATGATCTCATAGCTCAAGACAGTCTCTATCGCTACACATACTCTTAACTATGGCTTATGCTTAACTCCTAGAAAGGGTCTTTTGATCTTTCCCGACCGATTTCTGTCCCCCTGGAAACCCAAAATCTTCAAGATATCCAAGCTGTTTGATGAGGAGCTGAGGACATGGATCGGATAGACTCGTTACGTTTTCTTATTGGTGAGGTTGGCACTACCTTTTTGGCTCTTGCAAGTCTTTAAGTTTAAGATCCGATTTGTTTGTAATCTTTGTGACGGAAAGTGTATGCATAGATAAGTTTTTATTGCAATTTTGTTTTTGGTTTAGGTCTAATTGAAATAAACCAAAGTGAAAAGTGATGAATACAATCACCAAAAAGCTCACTTGGCAATGATTTAAAGTTGAATGCCTATTGAAGTGGTACGGAAGAATGTCAAACTTGATGTCCGGAGTTGTACCAAATGATAATTGATGTTGATGATTGATTGGTTCACACCCAGATCGATTCACAGGGTAGGATAGTAAGTATTTAGGGTGTAGGGATAGACCAGGAGCTGATCAATAGTGACGCCGAAAAAAAAGCATGATCTGGTGTTTTTTTTTTGTTGTTGTTGTTTTAGACTGACTGGATTACCCTACGACGGGAACAGGAAGAGATGATACGACCGACTGAGGTTGGTTGACTTGGAGCTTGACGACCAGGCTTTGAGGTTGTGGTTGAGTTGAACCCCTTTGATTGGATTGTTGTTGTTAATCGATTTGATTGGATTTGATGGGATGGGATGGGATGGTTCTTATGTAATCTTCAATGGGATTTTCTTTTTAAAGATGAAGTGAAGTTGAAGTTGAAAAAATTTTAAATTTCTAATTCAAATTCCAAATTACATATTAACCAATCAACTTACATATCCAAGTCTTTTTGAGTTAGTCTTCTTGAGTCTTCTTGTGATTTCTCCATCTTCAACTAGTTTTACTTTTTTTTTTTTTCTTCTTTCGATTCCTGACTGCCTTCTGAAAGTCCGGCCGTCTTTTCGATTGTACTGATTAACTGATTTTAACTCTTCATCAGCTTTACACAATCTCAACTTTACACTTTTTTCATTTTACTTTCTTCACAAATTCATTCAACTCAAGACTCCAAAACTCAAAAAAACACGCTTTATACATCTCAACTTCAATGTCTAAAAACTTTCATGTTACTAAATGGTGGTCTGCTCAACCTGATGTACTTGGTTATTGGGGTCCAGCGTAAGTTTGAAATTCATTTCATCTCGTTAAAACTATCATAACTAATCTTTCATGGTTTCTTGGTTCAAAATAGAACGGCATCTATCGATTGGTGGTCAGTTTGATATCTTCACGTCTTTGCTACTACTACTTCACTTTATTCATCCATCAATCATTATTCTGTTTGATTTCGAACTTTTCAGTGAAGCCAATTATGCCATCTCACGATACATTGCCGAATTCACAAACACATTTTCAAACCTAGTCTTTGGTCTGCAACGTTTTCCTTTACATGACTCTAATCTTCAACCTAAACTGATTTTTGTCTTCTTTTTCTATAGTCGGATTGGCCATCTAGTTCGTTTTGATTTTCTTATTCTTCTTAATTCAATCAACTCCTTTTGCTTTTCCCAAAACCAGATGACTGATTTCTTTCGAATGAACTTTTTTTTGTAGTGGGATTAAGAAATGTCGAGAACAACACTTACCTCTTCCACTTGCACTTTGTCAAATCGGTATAGCTCTAGTCGGTTTTGGAAGTTTTGCGTCAGTCTTCTCTTCAACTCACCAGAACCAGAACCAGAAACCAGAAACCTTAATCTTTTCCCTTTGGTGTGAATTCTTACTTTAGCTTTCATGCAACCTTGAATTGGAATTGGCAATTGGGTGATGAACTACCGATGATCTATTCAGTTTGTTTTATCACCTATGTAGCCTTCGATACTGCTCCAGCTTCAGTACCTCGCTCTTGGTTCGTCAAAGCCTTACCCACCATCTTGTCTCTCTATGCGATCATCATCACCGTGGTTTATGTGAGATGGCCAAACCCGGTCTTTCATCAAGTGGCTTATGCTTTTATTCAAATGTAATCGTATTCTTTCTTTGAGTGTTTTTGTCATTTCTAATCATTCAGTTCACTAACCTTGGTTGATTGTTTTTTTTGAGCACAGCTTGTCGACTGTTAGAGTTTATTATACTGTTCGAAACGCACCTGATACCACTCCTGCAGAACAACAAAACCGAGCTGATGCATTAAAACTTGAAGTTATGGGATCTGCTATTTTCTTAAGTGGTTTTTTGATTTGGAATATTGATAATATGTGAGTTTGATCTTTGAAAGACATTGGATCTTGTTTCCATTACTTACTTACGAATGTTTTTTTTCTTTCTCTTATAGATTTTGTGATCAGATATCTCATTTGAAAGAAGCTATTGGTGTACCATTCTCATTCTTGTTAGAAGGACATGCATGGTGGCATTTAGCTACCGGAACTGGTGCTTACTTGGTCAGTCTCATCTCATCTTCCCTTGTGATGAACCTTTTCTGATATATTTTTTCCCATTCGATTTTTTCTTTTTCGAACAGATCGTCGTGGGTCTTCAATTACTTTCACTCACATTGAAAGAAGGAGCAGAAGGCTTTGAATTGAAATGGACAGGAATGTGTCCTTATGTTACAAGAGTTCCATTAAGTGCTACTTCAAAGAAACGTATCTTTTGATCAAGAAATCGGTTTCTCTTTCGTCTTTTTTCTTTTATGTTTCATTCATTGAGCTTCTTCTTGAACATTTTTTTTTCCTTTTTTTGTCTCATTACTCTTTTCTTTCTTTTTTCCTCTATATCACTTTTTTTTCTTTTTTTCTTTTTTTCTTTTTTTTCTTTTTCTTTTTGATTGAAAAACCAAACTGTATACTTTCATGTTATATTGACTTATGATATCCAATATATCCTTCTTTCATGTGATATTAAATCTAATCTGATTTTTTTTTCAATCATCAAATAGAAAAAAAAGCATCTCTTTCTTTCTCTCTTCCTTTTTCTTTTTCTGATCATTTGGAAAAGTGATAGGGTTTGTTTTTTTTGCGACTAGGTTACAAATTTTAATGATCTTTTCAAGAGTTTTGTATTATAGAGCTTGTTTTACTTGAATCTTTTTGAATGCATTTTATTTTAAACTCCCATCCAATGCTCCCATTTGACTTCATTTGAGATATTTTTGAGTGATGAAAGCTTTAGATCTTGGTTGTCAATTTGACTCGCTGAACTTCTTAGTAGCTTGACGAGTTTGGAGATGTAAGAAAGGGTTGAGAATTTTTCCTGGGCGTTGGCGTCAGTGTACTTCTTTCAAATCATCTCTTAGATCCAAATTGGTCAAACAAAGTTAAACTTGCTTTGACAATCTGCATTTGCCAAACAACTGACCCGACTGATGAATGTCTTGATAAATCATTTGTGGTTTCTGAAGACTCATATGCGATTTTACGTAGATTCTCAAATGTTTGACATTTTCACCAAGTAAAGTGTTCAACTTCGAGTATCTACGAACTAAACTCCAAAATCCGTCATTATGAAAAACCCTGCTATTACAAAACGATCAGTTTTTTTACATATTCACCAAGATGATCAAAATTACAAAAAGGATGATCAAAATCGAAACTAATCCTCAAGATCTAAAGTAAATCCAACTAAATTAATTTATATCTTATTTAACTTCTAAAGATACTGACTTTATAGTTTGGTTTGTAGGTTAGTGTGATTGAATGATGGACCATACCACTTAACACCCAGCCTAAGATATATACAAACATCAATCATCAAAACCATTTTCCAAACGTTGATTCCAGAAAAAGTATCACATACCAATGAGCCAAAAACTCGAACCGATCCGATCCAAAAATCGTAAGTCGATCACCATCCGGTTTAACAACTTCCAACCAAGGAAACCCAAATGCGCCCTTCTCCACTAACTCCTGAGCCGCCTGTTTCATAGCCGATTTACATTCGTTTGTCTCAGATAAACTTATGTATTGGTCTAGGGTTGAGGAATTTAAGATGGGTGTTAGGATGGATTTTGTGATGGATAAGTCTTCTATTTGAGATCCGGTAATAAACATGGCTTCCTTTAAAGGAATTTCGTGTGGTTTAGAAAAGGGTTTTGTGGGGTTGGGTTTGGATGGGGAGATACTTACGTAGAGTTTATTGGTTGAGGATTCTAGTTTGGAAGGTGAGAGTTGTTGAATGATTCGTAGGATACGCATCACTTTTAAGGTGTTTGTTGGGAATTGTGAAGGGTGATTGTATTTGACTACATATTGTTTAAAAAAACGAAGTTGAGAAACATGAAATGAGGGTTTTAATCTTTTATTTATTGAATCTGAATTCGAGGTTTACTTTTGAAGAAATTAGACATCTAGTAAGTCGAATGAAAGATAAATGATCAAGTTTATTAAACTAATTCATACTCTGTAAATAAAGAGTTAAAGAAACTTGGAAACTTACTAGATCGATTTCGTGACTCTACAACATATAATTTTATCATCAATTTAAAGATTTTGAAAGAATAAAGAATGGTTTGATTTGATGAGTGTGGACTTTTGAATTCGATCACGTACCATATATTTACCTATGATATGAACAAACCCAAAAACCCATCAATAATTATAACATAATTTCAAAAAAGAAGAAATTATAAAGCTTACCTTTATTAGGTACAGTCATAGGTGGTGAATTTCCCGAACCGATCATCACAGCTAACCAAAAAGAAAAGAAAAAAACACGAATCCCAAGATCCAAAAAAGATAAGTTTGTTTGTGGAAATCGAGAATTATGAAGATTGATTGGTTTACATACCTCCTAACCAAATTGGATTTAAAATTATTTCTAAGTTCCATTCGGTTCTATACCTTTTAAGAATCTCGTAAGCGAAATAAGACTTTTGGTAATCATCAGAAGCAGATTATTTGAATTGTTTGAGTTGAGTTTGATTGGTTTGGTTTACTTACCCATGGACTTTGAGATGAGTGATTTGGATTGAAGGTGTTAGGTTCGTGGATTAAAGAAAGGAATGATGGGAGTAGGAAACTTACCTGACTATATCATAACTTAATTTGATGATGGTTTTAGTTGGTTTCATTTTGGTTAAAGAAGTGGTAGAAGTGGTAGTCACTCGAGGCTGAGCTGTGATGTCATTTTGAGGTTGATCCGATCTTATCAGATTGACCGACCCGAGAAGATAGATGGCCCGATGACAAGTGTGAATGTGTTGAACATAGAACATCAGTCATGTGACTTTGAATATAAATCTGAGACACCACTCTTTATAAGCATATTCCACTTTGCAAGCCGATGGTCGAAATTTTTTTCAAATCTCGCGCGACGGAAGAACCAAACAAGAAAAAAAAAGTTAGAAAGCACTTTTATCGAAGGAAAACTATCAACTTATATCTCACTAACAACTATCAGTATATCTCTTTCTTGATTGGGCAACCAGGCATCGCAACTATTCACTTTTATACCCTCTTAGATACTAAACTTAACGAACACTAAGAAAACGAAGATCAATTTTATCTTAGACTTGATTGATTGGTGATTCAATTCAAGTTTTATAATTCATCATGATTCGAGTCTCATCAAGACATTCAAACCTTTCATCCTTGATCCGATCCAAATCGATCAATCCTTCCAAACCGTTTCATTCATCAAACTTGATCTTAAACCGAACCCAATCAATTACAAATCCATCATCTCTTCATCTTCTTCATCATAGATGGTTATCAACTTCATCTTCATCTTTGGATTCATCACCAAAAGCAGTTCATCAAACTATTAGTACTGAACAAAACCAATTGGCTAAAAAAATCATTGCTAATGCTTTACCTAAATTGATTAAACCTGATGTGAAGAAAGTCTTGGTGGTCGGTAGTGGTGGGTTAAGTATTGGTCAAGCTGGGGAATTTGATTATTCTGGTAAGTTTTTCTGAAGGTCTCATTTAATCTTATCTTCTGTGTTTTGAGAAAATTGTAAAAGATTTTAATGTTGATTTTTTTTCTTTTTTTTTCTTTTTTTTTTCTAGGATCTCAGGCTATTAAAGCTTTAAGAGAATCGAATATTGAAACGATTTTAATTAATCCGAATATTGCTACCATTCAAACTTCTCATCATTTAGCTTCAGAAGTTTACTTTTTACCTATCACAGCTGATTATGTTGCATGGGTTTTAGAAAAGTAAGTCATCTCTCTAAAACCTGATATGAAAGATTTAATCCAAAAAAAACAAAACAAATTACTAAAACGTTACAACTTTTCAATAGAGAACGTCCAGATGGGATCTTACTTACTTTTGGTGGTCAGAGTGCTTTGAATGTTGGAATTCAGTTAGATAAGATGGGTATTCTTGAACGATTAGGTGTTCAAGTTCTTGGTACTCGTAAGTTTTTCATCTTGACTTTTCAGATCCAATTCGATTTTCGCATTTGGTTAATTCTTTGGATTTTAATTTTTAGCTATTCAGACTTTAATTGTCAGTGAAGATCGGGATTTGTTCGTCAAGGCTTTAAATGGTATGTATTTCATTACTCTTGATTCTGAACCAAGCACAAACCCAGTAACTGACACATCATGAAAAAATTAATCTTTTCCAGAAATCGATATTCCAGCAGCTCACTCTACTGCAGTTTCAACCGTACCAGACGCACTTGCTGCCGCTAAAGAGATTGGATACCCTGTAATCTTACGTTCTGCATTCTCTTTAGGTGGATTAGGATCAGGATTTGCTCAAAATGAAGATGAACTAAGAGATTTGAGTGCCAAGAGTCTTTCATTGAGTCCTCAAGTTTTGATTGAAAAGAGTTTGAAAGGTTGGAAAGAAGTCGAATATGAAGTCGTTCGTGATGCAGCAGATAGTCAGCGTAGTTCTTTTCGCTTACCAAACTGATCATCATCTCTTCAAAGCTGACTGATATCTTTTTTTGGATGCCCATAGATGTGATCATTTGTTGTAATATGGAAAACTTTGATCCTTTGGGAACACATACTGGTGATTCGATTGTCGTGGCTCCTTCTCAGACACTTTCCGATGATGATTATCACATGTTACGTTCGGCTGCTATCAAGATTGTTCGTCATGTAGGTGTGGTAGGAGAGTGTAATGTTCAATACGCTCTAAACCCTCACAAACGTGAATATATGGTCATCGAGATGAATGCTCGATTATCAAGATCTAGGTCAGTTGAACTGATCTCCCCTCAAGAACCTTTTTTGGTGTTGATCAAATCTAACGTCTGGTTGGTCGGTTTGTAGTGCTTTGGCTTCAAAAGCTACTGGATATCCATTGGCATACACAGCTGCTAAGATCGCATTAGGACACACGCTTCCTGAATTACCCAATGCAGTGACCAAGACTACAACTGCATGTTTTGAACCTTCATTGGATTACGTAGTGACCAAGATTCCTAAATGGGATTTAAAGAAATTTCAATATGTGAATCGAGAAGTAGGATCAGCTATGAAATCAGTTGGAGAAGTGATGGCGATCGGTCGAACGTTTGAAGAAAGTTTACAAAAAGCTATTAGACAAGTCGATCCAGCTTGTCAAGGATTTGAAGCTTATATCAAACCAGAAGATCTTGATCATGCTTTATCTGTTCCAACTGATACTAGATTGTTTGCAGTGGCATATGCTATGTTGGTGGAGAAATATTCGGTTGATAAGATTTATGAACTTACAAAGATTACGAAATGGTTCTTGTATAAATTGGATAATATCGTTCAGTGTCATCGAAAATTAAAGGGATTAGATAGTTTGGATCAAGTGGATGGTGAATTGATGAGATCTGCTAAGAAATTAGGATTCTCTGATCGTCAAATCGCAACATTGGTTTCGAGTTCAGAAGGTGAAGTTCGAACTAAGCGTAAATCACTCGGCATCACACCTTTTGTCAAACGAATCGATACATTGGCAGCTGAGTATCCTGCTCATACGAATTACCTTTACACGACTTATCACGCTACCGAACATGATTTAGAATTTGATGAGAATGGAACGATGGTCTTGGGTAGTGGAGTTTATAGGATTGGTAGTTCAGTAGAATTTGATTGGTGTGCAGTCACATGTGTTCGTAAAGTTCGAGAAATGGGTAAAAAGACAGTGATGATCAATTATAATCCGGAAACGGTTTCCACGGATTTTGATGAAGCTGATCGATTGTATTTTGAAGAACTTGGGTTTGAAAGAGTGATGGATATCTATGAACTTGAATCGGCTCAAGGTGTGATTGTTAGTGTGGGTGGACAATTACCTCAAAACATTGCACTTCGATTGAAAGAGAATGGAGTCAAGGTTCTTGGTACCGATCCAGAGATGATTGATAATGCTGAAGATCGACACAAGTTTTCAAAGACACTTGATCAAGCTGGGATCGATCAACCGGAATGGGTAGAAGTCACCACGCTTGATTCGGCTATGAAATTCGCCGATGAGGTAGGTTATCCAGTGCTGATCCGACCATCGTACGTTTTATCGGGTGCAGCCATGAATGTGGTTTGGGATCGATCGACCTTGGAACACTCACTTACTGCTGCAGCTGAAGTCTCATCTGAACATCCAGTCGTCTTGACCAAATTCATTGCTGGAGCTCAGGAAATCGATGTCGATGGTGTGGCTCATGAAGGCAAACTACTTGTTCATGCGGTCTCTGAACACGTCGAAAATGCTGGAGTTCACTCGGGAGATGCAACTTTGGTCTTACCACCTTTCTCATTAGAAGCTCAAGATATGGTTCGATTAAAAGAAATCGCACAAAAAGTTGCCAAAGCACTTCAGATCTCAGGACCATTTAACATGCAAATCATCAAACAACCATCCGAAAGAGCAGATGAAGATGATCAATTGAAAGTGATTGAATGTAACTTGAGAGCATCCAGATCGTTCCCATTTGTGAGTAAAGTCTTAGGAACGAACTTTATTGATATTGCCACCTCAGCCATCTTAGGAGAAAACGTACCCGAACCGATCGATTTGATGTTAGAGAAACGAGATTATTGTGCGATTAAAGTACCACAATTCTCATGGACTAGATTAGCCGGAGCCGATCCATTCCTTGGAGTCGAGATGGCATCTACAGGAGAAGTAGCATCCTTTGGACGAGATATACATGAAGCTTATTGGGCATCATTACTATCTACTACTGGATTTAAAGTACCTAAATTGAATTCAGGAATCTTGATTGGAGGAGATTTAAAGAAACCTGAATTGGTTTATTGTGCAAAGATCTTATCTAGATTAGGATTTAAATTATATTGTTCTTCGACGGAGATTGAAAGTTATTTTGATCAACTTAGATTTGATTCAGCTTCATCAGATACATCAATGATTAAAGTTAAGAAGATTGAATTTCCTAAACGAGATAAACGAAAGTTACGAGAAGTGTTTGAAGAATATGAAATTCAATGTGTGATTAATTTGGCTAAACAACGTGGTCGAGATGTATTAGATGAAGATTATGTGGCACGTAGGAATTGTGTAGATTTTGGTAAGTGTGAAGTGAAGATTTTTTTTTTTTTTTGAAAAATGATGAGGTCAAAAAGAAAAAAAGTTGAACTGATTTGATTTGATTTGATTTTGTCTTTCTTTTTTCACATAGGTCTTCCATTGATCAATAATGATAAATGTGCTAAATTGTTTGTTGAAGCTTTAGAAAAGAAAATCCCACAAGGAGGATTGAAAGGATATGTTGAAGGTAGTATTCCATCTGAAGTTCATAGTGTAAGTGTTTTTTTTTATCTTTCAATGATTAGGTTTTCGAGGTAGAAATTTTCTGTTTTTGTTTTCAATTGACTGATGAAAGGTTTGTATGATTTGAAAAATAGTGGAGTGAATTTGTTGGATTATCAAAAGGAAATAGACCGGTGTGAAGATGAAGGGGTTTTTTGTATCTGGTTTGAGAGTTTGGTTTGATAAATATGGTATACATAGATCTATTGAAATCCCCTTGAATATAATTTCATTAAAGAAATAACTTGACTTTGATAAAAAAAATACAATGGATAAAGTTTAAATTTAAACTCACTCCATGGTTCATCTCTTTTTTTTTTTTTTCAAATTTTCTCTTTTTTCTCTTTTCTTTTTTGGTTCTTTGGGTAATGTGGCATTGAATTTGAGTGATTTTGCATATTCTGAATGTTTTTTCATGACTCTTTCTTTTGACACCTGAATTTTTTTGATTTGATTTGCTTTGTTTAACTTTTCTTTTTTTGAATTGTGAATAGATTTTTTTTTCTTCAAAAAGATTAATCTTTCTCATTGGAACTTTTTCATTGGAGTAATCATCATAGGATGGGATTAGTCTTTTTTGTTTGAGAAAGACTGGGTAGCTTACAAACAATGGTGTTTGGCTCAGAGAACGTGATGGAAAATGTGTTTGATGACATTGGTATTCATCAGTGGGATTGGATTTGAATGATTATAAATTCAATTCAGAAAAGCTTGTCAGAATTTCCCGGCGGATTTGCTGATTTTGCGTGCAGATTTGGTCAAGCTTTTGTAAATTGACTGTAACAAGCTGTGGAAATAGGCACCACAACTGGTTTGAATCAAACATGGCCGTTTGCATCATTGCAAGCATGAGGAATTTATTTTGCCTTTACCAGAATCTTGGTAAGTTCTTTAACTCAATAGCTAGAGTCCCTCATGTGATCAGATTGATTGATTTCAGGTAAAGAGGAACAAAGATGGCTGCAACTTCTAACAGGATGAAAGATAAAAGATTTTATACAGTCTAGTGCCAAAATAACTTATTTCTTTGGGAAAAAATATCCTAAGTTGATAAGCAGGATTACCGAGTACTTCCAAGTCGTTCCGATCTTAACAGGTCCCTATCTTTTTGAGTTGTTTGTTTGAGCTGGTCATTAGAGCCCAAATCGATAGGGACTTATTGGAAAGTCCTATCCGGTGCGCATCTTTTCCTGTACATGGCACCTGGAGACCAGCACTGGGGTGGCGCGGCGAGCGCTCTCAGAGGGGATCGACTTTGTTATCTGTTTACATCGTCCTGCTTACAATGGTGTATCTACAGGGGCCATATACCTGATCTCAAAGGACACAGGGTCCTCGCCGGTGGTGGAGCCTCAAGGCGGAGGAAATCACCCTATGGAAGCCTAGCCTGAAGTCGCTTTTGCTAGGGCCTGCAAATATCACATAAATAGACTGACCATCTTCTTTTGGGCGCTGATTTCGACTCAACCCACACGCAATTTACGCTCTCATAAGTTGAAATCTCTTACCCAACGTTCTTCTTTGACTTTTGTTGTACATAGTCAGCATGCTCCATCTCTTCCTAAAGATCTCCTTTCTACTATCTTCCTTGGGTATTCATGGCCTGAATGCTGAAAAACCGATATATGCGGCAGCCTGTAACGGCGGCATGAGGTTGTACACAGGCGGGAAACAGGATGCAGGTACGTATTCGATTCAACTTTTCTCTTTATCCTCATGAACCCAGAACAAGTTACGTGCACTGCTAATGTGAAGTTGATACGCAATTCCACATCTGAAGCATGCAGATATGTACGGACAACTGGTGAAGAACTACATTACAACTGCCAACACAACAGTTGCTTGTATGATGGTAAGCCCCTTATATAATCTAATTTTCATTACCTTTGATATATCTCATTGCTGATCGATTTCGTTTACTTATTTTAGATAAAGATTGGGTTCCTTTCAATAACTGCCGACTAGCCAACTCAGCTAACACGGGGGTTTCATTCCAAAAGTGCAAGGAATATAATTACGAGGGACAGAACAAAGGTTATAGTCAGTTCTTTTTCTTGAATCTTGCAAACCTGAGAAAATTTTCTATCCGAGACTCATCTTTTCGATTTGAATTGGTTATGTTAGCTTGTAGCAATCTTTCGGGTGTGAAATATGTTTGCCCAGAGTACAATCCTCAAAATACGGTTGGCGCCTTGAGTTAGTCGTATTTCCTTCTCAATCAGAATTCCACCTCATTGATGATTATTTCTCCTTTCAGCATGTCTGACTTGCCGTGCGGGAAACTGGTAGATCACACGACGAACAAGACTTCTTAGGCCCTATTCTAGTACCTTGAGAACAAGGCAAAAGCAAATCCTTCAAAACTCGCGCGATCAACCCCTTATCCAAACCTTTCTGTGTATCTTGTTAATAGCCCTTTCGTGTTGATGATCTACTTGGTCACCTGAATTCAAAGTGTTGTGTTTATGATTAACGTCAGAAAATTGTGGCTTATTGCTATTGATTTTGTGAAACCTCATATATCTCTTTCTTGTATCACTCTTGTACCACTAATCACTTCTTACCCCCATCACCACTGGTGGATTCAATGTAATAGCTGCTCCATGCACTGTAGTATAGTAATTGTCATGCACCTTGAGTGTGGGACTGATCAAAAAATGAATTGAAAGATAGCCTTGCAGTTGTTAAACACATGGTAATAAATTGGATGGTGAAAAATTGATCAAAATGGACTCACAACTTCTTAAAAGAAATGAGACAAGTGCTTGGGGTGTGGATACTTTGGAGAAGATAAACATCCGTCCCACATCAGAGGGGGCGCACAAAACAAACTCTGATGTTTTTGATCCTCAGAGAATGGGTTTTCTTTGGCAGACTGAAAGTTAAACTGTTAGATGCAGTGATACAAGCATCATTCATTTGTTTTTTTGGATTAAAAAAGAATTATCAGCACATTGCTCATATCTTTCAAAGCCAAAAAGACTGTCTCACAGGTTTCAAAGCTTTGGATTTCAGAACTCAACTCTTTAACAAATATCTGCGTGTGTCATCTTATTAGATCTCAATTGATCTAAATTGCATCCACTGCCTTGGAATATGAAGAGTTGAATACCAGAAACCTGACGCGCCCTTCCGGCCTGCTCTAAATTGTCCCAAATGTATCGCTGAGTATGCTAAAAGACCTTTGAGAGTATTTCATACTGAGTTCTGTACAACATAACTCATCACAGAGGAGGAGTTCTGGGTTTCTGTTTGAAATATCATAGCTTACATAGAGAAATTGAATCAGAGTGGTTTGTGTCTTCTTCATCAAGACTTTCAGTGATTTGAGTTCCCTCTTCTTCTTCTTCTTCTTCTTCAAACACATGAGAGTTGAATTAAATGATTAGGACGCGTAAACCATGAAATTGTAGTAGGGATTGAGAGCTTTGAAAAGCACTGCAAAAGAAAAGCAACGGCAGGGGATGTAATTCCTATTTCCGCGCATTCCCTTTGTTCTCATTGTATGCGCTTTTGAGAGACTCGAAGCACTTTCCACTGCTTTTTACTACTTTTTGTTACTTTTACATTGTACTTGATTTCCTGTGATCGGGCCAGTCCTATCCAGATCCGTCCTGATCAGATACATGAGAACCTTTGTAAGCCGGATCCAGCAGTATCGGATCCGGCCTTCCTATCTCATCCTCAGTTGTAAAACAACAACATCCCTGTTGTCTCTCATTGTACCACAACATTGCCTTATTTGTACTTTGTAGACAAGATGGAGGACTGTATAAATTCCCCCGCTCTTCCCTCTGGAATAAAGACTCAAGTCACTTCTCCTTCACTCTTACCGTACCAAGTTGTGATAGGAATAATTATTTGTGTGTTATTTTTGTTTTTTCTACTTTCTAATTTTCAATCAAGACGCACCTTGATATCAAAGAGATATTGATCTATCCCTTTCTGTTTACCTCTGTAACTTCCTTATTGTTGAACTTGAAATCTCCAATCGACGAAACATGAAAGTTCGAAGTACAAGATGAGAGAAAGCGTTTTGAGAAGAGTGATAAGTAAAGTTTGTAAGAAGAGCTATTAGCTTTAGTAAAAGAAGTACATTTGAATTACCCCAACCAAGTAAACAAAAAGAGAAAGTTAGAAGTACTTATACATTTCCCGTTTGCTCAATCTTACTTCTCTTTCCCATCTTTGGAAAGAGAAGTAAGTAAATTTCCTATTTTCTATTTTCACGTTGAATGTTGGTCTTGTTTTAATCTTGATATTGTTTGAACTTGTTAGCTATTGCTCTTTTAGCCCACCAGAGATCGCTATCACCTTTTGATAGCTTAAACTAACTTTGTCTATCTTGAAATCTGTACCCTCCTTTCAGATACATCGTAGTCTCAACAATCTCAATGTTTCTTTCTTCTTGACTAATTTTCCTTATTCATTATTGTTATAGGCCAGAGCCTTAGTATAGACACCTTGTAGGAGTCAGTAGCTTATCTGTGCGATTGTTGCAGTTCATCAGGTGAATAAAATCCATCTTTGGAAAGAGAACTATTGCTCTTTTAGCCCACCAGAGATCGCTATCACCTTTTGATAGCTTAAACTAACTTTGTCTATCTTGAAATCTGTACCCTCCTTTCAGGTCAGAGCCTTAGTATAGACACCTTGTAGGATTCAGTAGCTTATCTGTGCAATTGTTGCACTTCATCGGGTCAGAGCCTTAGTATAGACACCTTGTAGGATTCAGTAGCTTATCTGTGCAATTGTTGCACTTCATCAGGTCAATTAACCCGTGGTTCAAGACACCTAGCATATTCATACTTATTTCCTAGACCCCGTATTGGAAAGTCAAATCCACCACAGAAGTATTCAAAATCCCCCATAGATCCTGTTGTAAGTTTCTCAGATTTCCTAGCTAGTTATCCAAATCCTTTGCGACACCTCTTTGATTAGTTAGATGATCTGATAGACGCTCCTTATACTCTATCACACACAGGACCACCAGCTACTCGAAGTTTAATCATTATAAACCAAGCACTATTTCTTGTTGAAGAACTTATTATAAAAAAAGAATACCAGTACATATTCCTTGAGACTCCGACCAAGTCTTGTTTATTATAAACACAATAACCCCGTCCATTATTCTTTTTGACATACAGAAAAACACCATCAAGGAATGGAAGACCCTCATGGATTTGTCCAAATCCCCGCTAAGGACCTTAGACTCATCAAGGCTCAGCTACAACAGAACAATAAGGACACCCAAGCTATTGCTGAGCTCCAAAATCAAAAACAGAAAACCCACCAAGAGCTGACCAATGCTCAGAACCACATATACCAGCTCAAACAGAGCCATCACACTCGCTCGACTCAACCTGCTCCCTTGAAACCAGATGTGTTTCGCGCAGAACCACACAAATTTGGTGGCTTTGGTGACAACACCGAGTTATGGATTTCCAAACTAGAATCCAACTTTAGAACCCATTGCTACCCTGAGTCCGACTGGTGCAAGATGATAGGGAACTACCTCAACAAAGAAGGTCAAATGTTCTGGCATCAGGTTTGAGATACGGCCAATGGTGGAACCACCACCAACTGCCAAGAATTCCGTCTCCAGTTCCCTGCTAAGTAAAGCTGTGGTATGCTGAAAGATGAAATTAGGGAGAAGCTCAAACTCTGCTTCTATAAAGGTGATGTAAACAAGTACATTCTGAGGTTTAGAAAGCTTGTTTGCCAAATCCCCGAGGATGACCTCCCTTTCTTCGAGCATTCCTACCTATTTCTTGACAAACTAACGGCTATCCATAGATAAGACATCAACAAACCGGAAAATAAGAAAGATATGGATATGGAGATCCTTTACGCTGCCGCCCGTGAAAGCAAGGCAAACATGAGAATCAAACAACGCAAGATTCAACCCACCAACCAAAAGTTTAACTCTGACCACAAACCTGGTTTTCACAAAAATCACAACTACTTTCAAAATCATTGTGCCTCCACACCTTTTGGACAAACTCCTGCAACTACCAGCTCTGCTGTACCTATGGACCTGGATCTGGCGGACTTAAGCAAGGTTGAATGCTATAAGTGTCACAAAATGGGACATCTCTCCTGGAACTGCACCAAGAAGATGCCTAACAAACACTCCCAAAATGGAAACCCCCAAGGAGACAGCAGAAAGCCTAATCTGCTCTTGATGGATCTTGTCCAAGCAATCCGTCAACCTGAATTCGTGGCCCCCTTCCAAGACCACAAACTACACAACTTCGGATCCTTTACCACCCCGTTCAAGATGCCAACGGCCAGATGTTCCAAGCTTTGCAAGAATCAACCAAAAGTCTTGACGGACCTTGTGAAGATGGGAGAGAAGCGTTAGCCAAGTACCAACATCATTATCTCAAGGCCTTAAAAGACATGAATCAAGAGGACTTCCTTGACCTTCAAAAGGAGCGAGACACTGTTAGAGAACTCTTCAAGAAGAACTCTAAAGAAGTACGCTGTTGTGGAACCTGCTATGGCTATGGATGTGAAGACAGTCCTCCTACCATCTCCAAAGGTATAGAGTACTTTGACTCAGAAGCTCATGACTTACCCAACAGCTCCTGCAAACAATCACAAGAGGATAGTTTGGACCCCGAGATCCTCCTGGCTCACGATCCTAATAAATGAGCTATACTATATGAACTTGGGGATCTTTATCAGTGGCCAATTAGATAAGAAGAAAATCAAACTTGACCGTACCCTCATTGACGGGTACCAATACACCAACATGCCCTTCAACTGGCCAGTAGAAGAAAAAGACCAATTCAAACTGGCGGAAAAAGAGCTAGAAAACGTTGAAGGATGGAACACAATTCTTTCAACCGCCTTTAAAACAAAACGACTTGAAGATCTAACTATGTCCGGTTTCAATGAAGACATAGAAGATCCCGTTGTCTGGGCTGTGGATTACATTAAAACCAACAAAATCATTATAAATCTTGAAGATACCAGAGACAAGCAAGAAGAAGGAAAAGAAGACGTTATTGCCCTCAACATGATTGATTTAACCACACTGGATGAAAAAGAAATCATTGAACTTAACACGGTTGACTTAGCAACTCAAGACACAACCAAATATACCTCACTACCCATCTATGCATGCTATTTCAGAAACATGCCAGTTGACACAATTCTCAATACTGGCGCTGCCGCCAATTATGTCTCAGAAAGCAGACTGAATGATATGAACAGAATGAACCCCCACCATATCAAGATCAAAACGGTATAAGGACGTGGTGTGAGACTAGCCAATGGAGCTC